ACGTTTATATTAATTATAAAATAATAGTATCTATTTTTAGAATTTAATACGTTTATAATATTATATATTTATTATTTTAATGAAATTTTTAGAATTTTTGAACATGTATATCTTTTATATATATAAAATAGGTCTCATATATATATATATATATATATATATATATATATATATATATATATATATATATATATATATATATATATATATATATATATTCCATCTTTTCCTTCCTTCATATACTCTTATATTCTCTATATATATATATATAAAGTAAAAATATACAAAAATATTAAATATTAAAAATATCTCATGATCAAAATAATAATCTAATATTTTTTTTTGAATAAATGATAATAAATTAATATTTCCAACATATTTTTTAAGATTATGAATTTATAAGTAAAAAATTAAAATTATAGCAATAATAATAAAAAATACATTACTATTAAATGTGAAATGCATTATAATGTCATTTAAATAATTATTACGATTATGATTCTTATTATAATAAAATGAACATTTTTTTTCTGCTTATTTGGATTTGGCCTATCCATTTTGTTTGGTAGCCTTCCTCATTATTCACATCGCATAATTACATTTTGAATGAAATTTGGACCAATAAAAAGATACCAACAATCTTTATTTTGTACCGAATAAATTGTTATGGATAAGCTTTGAAAATGTTGTCTAACTTATATATTGAATCAATACATGTATCAATCTACAAATGACATGAAGATCACACAACTATGACATGTGAGCAAGATAGTGAAAGAACTTGAAACTCTCCACAATCACACCACAAAACATACATTTGTGTTCGTGCATCATGTTGTTGGTTTGACAATTCTTGTTCTTCAAACTCACCATTTTTTCTACTATATATTTCCATATGACACATGTCAACCTGTTGTTGGTATTCTCTGATCAAGACAATAATTTCTTCTGGATACTTGTGCCTTACTTAGGGATGATAATTAAACACGTCCTCACTCCGAGTTTGACTGGAAAAACCCGAGTTGACCGGGGACGGGGGCATGTTCGGGTTTTTCCGCTTTAAAAGTTGGGGCGGGGATGGGTAATACAATCCCCACTCCGATCCCGTCCCGCCCTCGCCCCAACTTTATATTTAAATTTAAATTTTAAAATATTAATATTTTAAAATTATTTTCTTTTTTTTCTATTACATATAAGGTCATTTTTTTATATTTCACCAATTTTTTTTCTTCTACCCACTTTTTTTGTCTTTTTTAATCTTTTATATCAATTAATTTATTACATTATTCTTTCTCTTACCTTTCAGTTTTTCACATTTTCTTAATCTCTCCCATCAATTTATTTATTTTTTCAATCTTTTCAACCAATTTGATGAATACAAAGTTAATTTTTTTATTCTTTATCTTTTTCTAAATATTTTACATAAATCTTAATAGTAACTAATATTATTTTATTTATAATTTATATTTATTAGGTTTTATTATGTCATATTTTTTTATCTTATTATTCTTATTTATCATATTTTAAAGGATTAAAGGAATTGATAATTTAAATTTTTATTACTTCAAACTAATTGAATAAAAATTAACTTATTAAATATTTCCTTATAAACTATATATTTCATATTTTTAAATGACAACTTAAAAATGAATTAACTTATATATATAATCAAATGTTTGAATACAGTATTATAATAATAGTGTTATAAATATTCAAATATTTGAATACAGTGTTATAATAATAATAATATTATTATAAATAAAAATTGGTTAAATATTTCTTTTACATACATATTTTAATATAAATATAATAAATTAAAATGTATATTTAATTAATAATAATTATAAATTATAAATATTTATTTATATATAAAAAATAGATAGTAAAATTAATTTATTATAAATGTAATTATCTTTTTAAAATTAATATAAATTGGGGATGAGACGGGAGCGAGGGACGGGGATGAAGACTTAATTTTTAACCCGACGGAAATCGAGGGTGGGGACGGAAATGGTTAAAAAAGTCGGGTGTGGGGATCGAGGAGGCAAAACATGTCCCCGCCCGCCAGTTGTCATGCCTACCTTACTTGTGTAATATGATCTTTACTATCATGCCATGTTTGACAAAACTATGATTTTATTTTTTTTAAATATGGTTTTGACTATGACATATTAATAAGATTTGTGTTCTTTTTAAAACAAAGTTCATGCACTTTGCTAAATTGGTAGTCATTGATATTATATCTTTTTTCTCCATCAATATGCTTGTGTCCATTTTTAAAACAAAGAATATTATTTTTATTAATTAGCATGATACATCATAGGAGGAATCATAACAACAAAAACATTTTAATAAAATCATCAACAATTTCATATATTTAGTTATTTCTAAGTTGATTAGTCAATTTATTAATAACTTTTTTTCATCTAGTTTTCATTTTGTTCTATTTTATGATTATGTTAATCATATTCAAAATCTACATAACGAAAATTATTTTAAAAAATATATCCCTTAGATGATATTTTTTAAATTAAACATTTTTATCATTCAAATGAATTATTATCAGCCAATAATATCTATATCTCTAAATTCAATTTAAAAAGAGAAATATATGGTAAGGATACTTTAGCACAAAAAAAAAATTTATCTCCTAATAAAACCAAAAACCTACCCACAAATAAAAAAAAATTATGATCTTCACTGAATTTTTCAATTAACTTTGTATTATATCATTTTATAATATATTATTATTTTTATTAAATTGGAGTTTGGACTAAAAAATGATTTTTCTTAGGATATTTAGTTTTATCTGCTGTCTTATGAAAGTTGTGGTCTAGTGAAGTCAATTCAAGGAATCATAAGTAAGAAAATTGATAGAAAGGGTTATATATATATGATTGATTGATTGGACAACTTTTCATGGAATGCAAACAAACAACAATTATGTTTCATTCTTTCGAAGAATAAGTATTTGCAAACTTATCAACAGGTCTTCTTAAGATAAGAGAATAATTTCGTTAATATAACATACTCTTAATTTATTTTTTAATTTTTGCATGATTCATTAAGCAATGAGAATCTAAATTTTGCCAAGTCATGTTTGCGTGACACGGTGAAATTCTGCGTTTGAAATTTCAATGTTTTTTTTTTCCAATTGGTCTACTTGGTGCCATTGGGTGTAGACACGTGTAGTAGGTTGTATTTTAAAATCTTCTTCCAATTTCCGAAACACATGATTTTCTTAAAATTGAAGGAAGAAAAAACAAACTTCGACCACCCTTTAAACGCAAAATATTATTTTCTGTGGAAAAACTGTGGTTTGTGAAACGAATGCATAAACTTTTATTATGACATCTGAAATTTGAGAAAAGGAAAATAATTATGTCCACATCAGAACGTAGGAGAGGATGTTTATCTAAAAAGTTGAATCAAAGAAGGAAGATGACAAGTGTCAGAGGGGTGGAGTGAGAGGCAAAGATGAGAAAAAGAATTTGGTAAGAAAGTTTTGAAAGCAACGAGAACGATCCACATATCTACACAATCATTGCAGCAAAACATGGCTCTACACATTTCAAGAAGCATAAGAACAAGTTGTAAGTATTTTCTTTATTAATATACAGTGCAAAAACAATTAATGAAAATATAATCTAAATGTAAATGCTTATAATAATAATAATAATGGGTTTTTTCTTTGTTATTTAGTTCTCGGGTTTTACAAAATCTGTAATCTTGGTTTAATTTTAATTTCTAGGCATGTTTTATTTCTTTTATTTTGAGCCGGTGGAATATTAAATATAATGTATTTGTTTAAGATCATTAAAAAAATTAGTTTTGTTAATTAAATATAACAACTGAACGTATAAATACTTGCAAATTAGACTGAATTTCAAAAATTTTAAAAATCTTTAGAATAAAATTGCAGAAAAATAATTGAAGAATCAAAATCATGAATCAAGATGAAATAATAATAATAAAAAAAACTGAAATTATAATATTATAATATATTAAAAAAATATGATGTAAGAAACACTTTAGAACTAAAAAAAAATGACATTTCCTAAAACTTTATTTAACTTTACTTTGAACATAATCAATATAAATTGCCATTAGAGCTGGAGTGTGATGTTGAATGACATTTTTCCTTAAGTTAAACTTGATTTAACTATTATAGTTAGCTTTAAATTTAATTATATGATCAATTTATTTAATTTCAGTTATTCAATTTATAAGGGGACTAATTTAAAAGAATAAATAATAGTGATCTAATCTTTGCTAACTCATGTGATCTTATCTATAATTGTAAGCTTCAATTATTTGTTTCAGAAATATTATTTTGACTTTCAATAAGGGCTAGATGCATTTTTTAAAATATATATGTGATGATTTTGTTTAATAAGTAAATAATAACAATATTTTTAAAACTTAAAATTTAGGGTTTAATAGTTTTGTTTTTGGACCGACCGGAATCCTCTGTCGTTGCTTTTCCTTATCCTTATTGAAACATTATTGTCATATTTTTTTCTATGTTGGAAAAGAATTTACTAGCTAATAAGGAAAATAATCATTTTGAAATTTAAGATCACATTAAAATGGGAAAATATTGATTTAATAATTAAGATGGTATTGAAAGTTTGATGATCACAATCTCAAACTCTCTCACGTTAAAATGGTTAGCGAAAATGAAGGCGAAAAACCTTAAAAATGTGTTTTGAAAAAATGAAAAAGAAAAAAAGGAACGAGTCTCACTATATTAGGACACTCCTACAACAAGGCACTCAGAATTTGGATTTGTGTGTGGCGAAAGGCAGTTTCATGTGACTGATCCAACTCACCCACAAACCAATCACACCAAAACCAGATTTTGAGATCGCTGCTTGTCCTAAACAAGACTCCTTTTTGGCACTCTTTTTTTTCACTTTTCCAATGAATTACTACTCAGACTGAAAAACCCAGAACCAGTTTCATCCAGTGATTGGGTTTAGGCCATCTCATCAAGAACCATGAAAGATCAAGAAGGTTCAGCGACTGACAGCACCCCATTGTTGGAGACCCAGTATGCAGCTTATCATCATGTTGAAAGAACTGGTTTGTAACCTTCTTCTTCTTCTTCTTCTTCTTCTCATCTTGTTCATCTTTTCCTTCTCAAAAACAATTTCTTGTTTTTTGTTTTTTTTTTGTATATGCATGCTTCTGTATTGGTATTGTTCTTGTTACTGCATGAATCATACCAGCTAGTGCAAGAATCATATCAGCTAGAACACGAATCACATAAATGAAATGTTGTTATTGTTGTTGGAATTTAATTAAAACACACTGATAGACTCTGCAACATGATTGCCACTCTCAATCTTATTATAAGATGGTAACAAGATCGGCATTCAATCAGAAATCGATAAGTTATTGATTTTTACAATGATTATTTTGATGGGAAATCGACAATGGAAGAAAAGTGAATTGTTGTGAATGGTGTGGAACAGGGACAGTGTGGACTGCAGTGGCACACATAGTGACAGGAGTGATAGGGTCAGGAGTGTTGTCGTTGGCATGGAGCATTGCACAGCTTGGATGGGTTGGAGGGCCTCTCACAATCGTTTTCTTTGCTTGCATCACTCTCCTCTCTTCTTTCCTTCTCAGCAACACCTACCGTTCTCCAGACCCTGAACATGGTCCTCATAGGAGCTCTTCTTACCTTGATGCTGTTAATCTCCATAAGGGTAACCTTCAATTCTTTGCTTTGATCATTTTTCTTTGTTTTGTGTTTGTTGTTATCTGGTTTGATGGCTTGAATTTGTGCGTGATGGGGTAGAAAAAGGTGGAGGAAATCACGGGTGAAGATTTGTTTTGTTGTTAGTTTGTATCAAATGAAAAATGGAAAGTGATGTGTGGCACATCCAAGTGTGAAGTAGTTGAGTTGTGTCACGGAAACCACATCCTTTGATTCAGATCACACCTCACCCTTTCGAATGCTTGCTTCTACATCTTTCTCATTGCACTTTCTTCAAAAGCCTCACCGAACCACATAAATAACACACAAAATGAAAATCCTTCAATAATTACATTCGAGTCTGATAACTTTTTGTTAATTGATTTGTATTTAATCTCTCACCGACTACAAGCCTTCATTCGTAATTTGTCACTTTTCCACAATTATCTCACTTGTGTTTTCAACTGAGAGATTTTAGAAATTTGGAATCTGTCATAAACTGATTTTATTTTTTTCAATAAAAATTTAAATTTAAATTTATAGTTTGATATAATGATTTCATTTTTATTATAAAAAAAAAAAATTAAATATCTTTCCCTCTCGTATAGCATGCTAATGTGTAATCTAGTTGGTTTGGTGCCAATGTTGATCAAATATGGTAGCAAATTTGGAAAATCATGTTGACCTGTTTCTTTGCATGATGCTAATTGGATGGTTACGTTACAGGAGAAGGGAATAGTCGTTTCTGTGGCGTTTTTGTGAACGTAAGCTTATATGGCTTTGGAATTGCCTATGTCATTACTGCTGCTATAAGCATGAGGTGTGTTCAATAGCAACATTTCTCACATGTACTTCACCATGAAAAAATGAGCAGTAACTTCATTAATTAATTTGGTGTGTGTGTGTGACTGCAGAGCAATCCAAATATCAAACTGTTACCATGACAAAGGGGATGAAGCAACAACATGTGGATTTGGGGGTCCATATTTCATGCTTATTTTTGGGGCTATCCAAGTTGTTCTCTCACAGACACCCAACTTCCATAATATTCAATGGTTGTCAATTGTAGCAGCAATTACGTCCTTTCTTTATGCTTTCATAGGAATGTGGCTTTCTGCTGGGCAAATCACGGGTATGTTCCATCAGGTCTCTGATTGGTCGTGTCCCTCATTAGGCGGACCATGATTGACATGTTCATGGACAGTTGTTTGGAAGTATATAATCAAACTATTTTGTTTTGACTTTCTGGAAATCATTTGATCAGAAAATGGATATGCTGAGGGTTCCATTGGTGGAATCCCCACTTCCACTGGACTTGAAAAATTATGGTTGGTTGCTCAAGCACTTGGTGACATAGCATTCTCCTATCCATTCTCAGTAATTCTTATAGAAATACAGGTATATATCCAGTGATATCAGATAATCAGAAAATGTAACTGTACCACAGCTTTGTGGGAAAGCTTTGACAATTATAAGGCTAATATAACTTGGTGCAATTCTTGAAGGATACTTTGAAGTCACCTCCACCAGAAAACCAAACCATGAAGAAGGCCTCAACAATATCTGTCATTATCACAACATTTTTCTACCTCTGTTGTGGGTGCTTAGGATATGCAGCCTTTGGTAATGATACACCAGGAAATCTTTTAACAGGGTTTACCTCTAATGCAAAGCATTTTCTTGTAGACTTTGCCAATGCCTGTATAGTGATTCACCTGGTTGGAGCATATCAGGTATATGTAATATTACAGATATCTTAATATCAAATTTTACTATAGTGCTTCCGTCTAGTGTATCTGCTGTCCTAGCACTCTCCACCACTTGTCATGCTAAACAATGTCCCATTTGTTTTAATTTGTTCTTGTGTAGGTGTATAGCCAGCCACTTTTTGCAAATGTTGAGAATTGGCTTCGTTTCAAGTTCCCAGACAGTGAATTTGTGAATCACGTATACTTCTTGAGACTCCCTCTGCTGCCAGCTTTCCAACTAAGTTTTCTCAGGCTTTCTTTCAGAACTGCATATGTTGCATCAACAACTGTGATTGCAATGCTCTTTCCCTACTTCAATCAGATTTTGGGAGTTTTGGCTGGAATAATATATTATCCATTATCCATATATTTTCCAGTGGAAATGTACTTGAGTCAGAGCAATATTGAGCCATGGTCGTCCAAGTGGGTCATGCTTAGGGCTTTTAGCGTTATTGGCTTTGTGGTGGGACTCTTCACACTCGTCGGATCCATTGAAGGGATAGTATCTGCAAAACTACACTGAGGAGCTTGAAGATCTCTCCAGGAATTGGAAGTTGAACTGAAAAATTAGCTTGTGGTTGCATTTTTGTGTTGAAAATCAACATTAATCAAAGGGCAGTAGACATCCTCGCCCCAGCATAAAGAATTCAGCATGGAGCATGAATTCTGTTGTTCTTATTGTTAGGATGTGTAATTGAGTTGCAGAAGCTTAAAAATGCATTTGTTTCTTGAAATGATCTTGAGAAACTAGTTAGTTTCATCTGTAATATTGAGAGTCAAGATGCAAATTTTTGTCATGGAATAAAAAAGTTGAGCAGGTCATGTTTTTTAAGCAGCTTATCACGCCTTCATTTCTCTCCATACTTGAGACTTGGGTAGGTGTTCTGTACCTGGATCGATGAACTGCGTTCCTTTTACTTACGTCTTTTGTAAAAATCACGGGTCCATGTTCTTTTTCAGGTTTTTTTTTTTTCTTTATTGAAGTTTTATTAGCGCAGGATTTTGCTAACTTAACGAGAAATAAGAATATAATGACAGTACAGTGTCATTAGTATCATTAATTGGATGAGTGGCACGTCACAGTCTTAAGATTATGAAGTTCGGTAAAATGATAGACGGAATATGATCCATTATATATGTAAGAATTTTTAAAAGAGAAAAATTTTTAAAAAATTAATAAACTGAAATTAATGTATGTAAAGTTAAAAAGTAAAGCAAAAATATAACAGAGATTTTATAAATTAATATATACATAAATTTAAGTTATAGTTCGATTTATCATTAAAAAACTTATGATACGGCGAGTCTATGTTACAGGATTCTAACTAAGTAGTTGTGATGTTTTTAAGTGTTTTGCCATGAAATAAATAAATATATACAGAGGAGGGATTCATTTATTTTATAAGTTAGAAATTTATTTATCATTCTTACCATTATTTTCTAATAATTTTATTATTAAAATTATAGTTGATTTTAATTTCACAGATTTATTCTTGAGTGATTGAATGATTAAAATAGTAATTAATCTTGATTCTTAATCTTAAAATAAAAGAACACCTCCGAAGTAATTTTTCTTACAATAAATAATCAATACTTTTAAGGGAAATATAAATTAGTCAAATTTGCTTCTTAAATATCCAAAGTCAGTCTCAGATTATTTTATGGTAGAGTCATGTGAAAATCAACAAAAATATTTATCAGTTGTATAAGTGTGTTATAGAGTGTGTTTTTCCAGGCTCTCTTCAAGTAAGCATAGTGAAAAAGGACGTTGTTGAAGAGTGAAACCCCGCACGTGGAGGTTGAGATAAGCAAAGATAAGGAGGATAAGTGTGATGAAAGCATAAACCTACCCAACGTTATGCATTAAGCACACAAACTATGAGCAAAGCAGTCAACAAGGAAAGAGAAAGAGAAAGAGAAAGAAAGAGATGTTGACCAAGCATCTTGTGGGTGAGCTACCTACCTTCCCCTCACACGCTCAATGGCGTTGAAATTCTTTAACAAAATCATGCGCCTTTGATGCCCTTATGCCATGCAATTCCAATTGCCACCCCTTATATATTAAGAATAACAAGCGTACCAGAAAACAGAAAAAAACACACAAACATAAACCAACTCAAACAAATATTCCACGTCTTCCCTTTTCGCCTCAAAGAATTCAAAGACGGGTAGAGAGAGTTCACAAGTTGTGGTGAAAGAAAGAAAAGACAATTCTTATACTCAACAGTCACATCCATTATTCTAGTCCTGACAACACTCAAAATAGGAATTTCTTTGGGATTGGAGAATTAACATACTGAAAAAGAATACAGAAATGGGGCGTATTCCATGCTGTGAGAAGGACAACGTGAAAAGAGGACAGTGGACACCTGAGGAAGATCACAAACTCTCCTCCTACATTGCTCAACATGGCACTCGCAACTGGCGTCTCATTCCCAAGAATGCTGGTTAGTCTCTCTCCACTCTATTCATACCACTCATTTCCGTGTCAATAAAAAAACAAGCATTTATTCTTGATTATGCTTATGAAATAGGCCTCCAGAGATGTGGAAAAAGCTGCAGACTAAGGTGGACTAATTACCTTCGTCCTGATCTCAAGCATGGCCAATTCACGGACTCGGAAGAGCAAACCATTGTGAAGCTTCATTCAGTTTTTGGTAACAGGTGCGCATTCAATGTTATTCATACGTAAAAGTGATTAATTATCTATATTTAATTGTTCCTTAAGTCCTTACTTAAATGGATGTTCAGATGGTCACTGATAGCAGCCCAGCTGCCAGGACGCACTGACAATGATGTCAAAAACCACTGGAACACCAAACTGAAAAAGAAACTGTCAGGCATGGGTATAGACCCTGTAACCCACAAGCCATTTTCCCATCTAATGGCTGAAATTGCTACGACATTGGCACCCCCACAGGCAGCTCACTTAGCTGAAGCAGCCCTTGGCTGTTTCAAAGATGAGGTGCTCCACCTTCTTACCAAGAAGCCAATGACCTTCCAGGGCCAGCATTCCAATGCAGCACCGGGGAATAACTTCACTGATTACATTAATTCCAAGACAGATGGAAAGGACGCAACGGTTGAGAAGATTAAGTTTGATCTATCGAAGGCCATGCAACAAGAATCTGAAATGATGCCTTCAAATAAACCTTGGGACTCCACAGCAACTACATCTGCAAGTTTTGCGATGCCATACAGTGTTTTCCCTACAATGCCTGGTTATCAATTCTCTCCAACGTCTTTCGGAAGTAAAGGTGATGCGTCTCCATGGGGCCAAAGTGTATGTACTGGAAGTACATGCACAGCCGTGGATCAGCAGAGCCAGTTGCATGAAAAACTTGAAGAAGAAAATGGTGATGATTCTGAGGCTACAAAGGAAATTAGAAGTCTATCCAATATATTCAACTCAGATTGTGTCGTATGGGATCTACCAGCAGATGATTTAATTAACCCCATGGTATAATAAAAATTATAATAGATGCTCAATTTTTGAGACTAGATCAAAGAATAAATTTCTTGAGAATAATATCAATGGTAAAAGATGTAAATGAAAACTATTTTTACAACTATAAATACAGTTAATACATCAAAAATGAAAAAAAAAAAAAAACATACTTTTATAACTAATATCTTCACTTTTATAACTAATATCTTCAGTACTCTCTCAACTACATTTCTGGATTTTTAATCAAGCAAAATACGATGATGACGAGGATGTATCTGCCAGGATCTGTGAATATAGAAAGGAAATCACCAAAAAATAAATATGGAGAAACAAAAACAGGAGTTATAATCAAATACTCTATTTTGATTTTCTTAGAGTACCTCAAGTTGCTCTTCAGTAAATGATTCTTTCTGAACATTCCATGTATCAGCATGGGTCCGCCTGAACTCAGCAACTGCTTTAGTAACGGTAGATTTCACAGGGGATGGCTCACCACTGAAGCGGGCTAGTAGTGTAACATGATCAGGCAACCAACTGAATAAACGTAGTTAATGGTGTCAGATAATTACAAAAAAGATACAGTAGATAGGAATCAATAGAAGCAAAATAAATTCCTTACCTGTGTGGCAAAAGAAAAATAAAAATTTATAGTTCAAAAGATATAATAAAGATTTTTGTATCTGATTTCACCGAAACATTTATTGCACATAAAAATTACAAGTTTTTTATATTTATAACAATATAGGGATACAATTTTTTTTAATATTGCTCCTTTAGATACTGGCAAATGAACGCATATTTCCAAGTGATGCAGAAATTGAAGACAACAGTATAAAATATTACATGAGTCAGGGATTTCACAATATGGACAAATACGGTTTGGTTTTAAAAAAAAAAAATCCACCAAAAAGAATTATTAATCTACACATCAAAAGCCATATCCAAGGTGATTGATGTAATCTAAACATTTTGCAATATCTCGTTAGTGGATTTCACTGAATCATTACAAGCATTCAAATTTACCAATACAAATCAAATGGCATGGATAACTGGACAAACCTGGGCATGTCATACGGAGCTGATAATACAGAAGCTACCAAAGCCAGTACAGCACCATGAACAGATGCTATAGTTGATCCAAAACTTGTATTTCTGTATTAGAAAATGTCCCCACTTTAACAAACTTGGCATGTTAGAGCTAAACAAAAATAAGAATTTGCTAGATAACTTTATCAACTTCAATTGACAAAATCAAAAGTGTTTGTAAATCCATCGTCTAATAAATGTGCTCTTCATGCCTACATGTTACATAAATATATTTTCAAGACAATAACTGCTTCCACACCGTGACTTCTTTTTTCATGAATACCAAATATCCTATAGTTCAACAATAAAGCTTATTCTTCACGTGGAGAAACTGATAGGAGCTGAATTTATTAAGGAACTAATAGGTAAAATTCTAGAAAACAGAACTCTGATTGAAAAGGGAACCTGCACTAGATAGAAAACTAGGACTAAAAGTGCCACCCAAAACTACCCAACTGAAAAGCCTACCTCTAATTTTCCTTCTCTTCTCATGTATCCCATACAGCCTCTAAAGCACAAAGCTTTCCATTCTTTGTGCTACATTTACAAGTTTGTCATAGCCTATGCAATCCTTATTTTTTGGTATCAATATTTGACTGCGAATATAGAAACCTATATTAGCACTAATTTTATTTTAGTTCTATCTCTTATGGACGTAGTACAAAACCACCATCCTTGATGTTGCAATTATGGCAATCTCCAAAGAGGCCAGAACTAATGTGGATTAGGATGACCACAATTAAGGTGGTTTTCCAAAAGTATAAGATTAAACTACAAATATGACATCCACAAGACCGTGCATAATGGATGAAGAATATATGTTAAAATTCGAATAAATGAACCAGAATTTATGCTTCCTTTGAGGCCCAGTTTGGTCAAAAGTAACAACTAAACTTCCGAGGGATAAGTGGCAAAGCATAACCTTGACTTTCTTCTTTTATGAACAATATTTGCTTCTTTATATGCTCTATCACGGAAATCTGTAGCCAGGTCCTCATCTCCACCCTTCATTAAGCCTGCTAAAACTGCTGCAGCATGTTCTCTTACCTAGAGAAAAGATTACGACTTCCATAATGAGATTATTTAAAACGAAATAATCACAATCACACAAGACTGAATGTAAATGGCAACCATCTATAATGAATGGCTTCCCTAAAATATATGTTGATATAGATTTTGTCTACACGAGGATATCTGTTATTGCTAACTATAAAGAAACATTTAAAAGTATAACAAGCTTTCCTCTACAGGCAAATCACACAAGCTCCCATGTAGTGTGATCTTGGTCCTGTCCACAACCCAGCTTTAAAGGTAAAAGAGGTGCCTCACTACGAATTATGTAGTGTCCGCTTAGGTGAAAAAAGGTACAACAATATCATTTTCTATGATGTACAAGCATCCCAAGCTAAATTACCCAAATTTCTTATTTTTAAACATAAAAGGAAAAAAAAAAAAAAAAGTGTTTTGCATTTCTATTCAAATAACTTTTAAGAAAGAACTTGCCTCAATTTGATTGTCTACCAGTAACTTCTCAACAGTTCTCCAAATTTCTTGCTTTTTTGTACTGGAGAGAATGAAAGTGTGCCTGTTGAAAAAGGAACACAACTTTATTTGCTTCTGCTTCAGAACAGGCAAGTGTGAAATCACCTCAAATAGATGAGAGTATAATAATCCATGAAAAAACTCTCTTTGAAGTACAAGTCGCTGATATTTAAATAAATGGATCCAAATACAATTACTGCTAAGAAAATATTATCACGTGAAGATAGATATCTATAATGAATAAGGCATGCAACCATTTAGAGTAAAGTATGCCAAAGCAAACCTGACACAAGATCATCGTACCTGTACATGAATGTTCGTAGATATGTCAATGTAGCAGATCTAGTCCGCCAGTTGGAATCATTGGCAGCAGAGAGAATCACAGATACAGCCTTCTGAAGGTGAGGTTCCCAAACGATCATCCATTTAAGCAATTCAAACGCTGCCTTGGCTAATGTTGACAAATCCTTATTTGATGTTTCCTTCAAAAGAACAAAAAACACATTATTCAGAAGTGTGATAACTGATACGTTCCCTAAATGAATGATCATAGAATCAAATCGAACAGAAAATGAAAATCACATTTTTTACACTTTAATTTAATACAACTGCTCTACAGGTATAAGAATGTGAAAAGTATTGTGTCCTTCATTAAGTCTTCCAATAATAAGTAATCAGAAATTGATACTTCTATATCTGTTACATTGATCAATAAACTGGTGTTAAAATTTACACCTCAATTGCAGCGTCCATAGAGGAATTGATTCACAAGTATTCTTTCAGTAGCCTCAAAATATCAAGAGTTTCAGAGATTTCAGGAACTTGTATTCTAGATTTAACTGTAAGCATTATGGACAACCTTATTATTGTTTATAATATCAGCAGAACGAGAATCCTGGAAGCAAGTTAAAGCTCACAGAAAACTGAGTCAACATATATGAACCTAAAATAAATTCCTGAAAGATGATAGACTCCTAAAATTTGAAGTTGTTAAAGAATCAAATGCAAAAGGTTCAAGAAAATCAAAAGCAAACACAATAAACCAAACAAATTGTCAAAATGAAGCATAAATCAATGAAAATCACATCAAAAGAAATCAGATAAATTACAATACAATTAAACATGTATAAGTTCAAATAATTAGAGTCAACATATAGCTCGAACCTGCAAGCAAATCACAGGATATAGAAGCCCCACAAGCACGTCAAGTAGATATGAGGATCTCCCAGACTTCAATGAAGAGATGATGAAGTAGAGTAGCTACATATGTTTGGAATAGTGAAATGTTAGCAAATAATTTGAAAAGCAAAACCTATTAAACTCTATCATTTCATTGGTACCGTTTCCATCCATTTCATGTCATCTTGTGAATCACCCTCTACATGCCCATTTTGAGAACTTGCATCTACAGGATTCACTATTTTATCTGATTGGTTAGCAATCTGAATGTTCACAACTGCTTCAGCTGCTCGCTCTGTAAGAAACTGGACCCAACTTTCATCTTTCATCAAACTATCAACATTGTCGCTTCTCTCATCCTGAGCAGAATCATGATGACTCGAATGATATAGCCTAATGTTAGAGCATAATACAGAAAGGGTAACCCCTAGAGCCTCCCTCACCTGTTGCATAGAAATAGGTCAGAAGCACAAACAAATAATAAACTTGAAACCACTTGTATATTCATATTACTTAACCCCAAAAAAAAGGTCCAGCATCCACCATTTATATACATCACTATGGCATTATCCCAATTTAAAACATGGATGGGTTGGGAAAGAAATGGAGATCATATATGTTCATATACAAACAGACCATGCATAAGTTAATAAACTCACCGACTATTTTGATAAATTCCTTGCAAAGATTTCCCTATTTTGTCAAAAGGACCATAGAAAGTAGCCTACTGTGAAGTTTATTTTTAATTCAAATAAAATATATGTAACTTCTAATTCAAACCAAACCTTTATATATATATATATACAGATTTAATTCTAGAATGAGAAAAACAAAAGCACAGTTTACATACAAGAATTAAACTCTTAAGGATACTTGCTAGTATATGGCCAAACAATCAACCAATTCCAGTGATTCAAGACACTTCCAAAATCAGTTATCCCTTAGTGCCTTTACTTCACATAAATGCTTAAGAATGTAATCCATTAGCTAATGACATAACAAAAAGTGAAAAAAATAATGCCAAAGGAAACAAAAAAAAAAGGTTCCTAAAAGTTAAAACAATACATTCACACAGCTGAGCTCCAAGGTAACATGAAGACAAAAATTTTAACCAAGAAAGATAATGTGCTTCATTAAAGCATATAGATTGATAGAAATGATTCTACAAAAGGAAATGAAATCAATTTGATATAACTGCATAGTGAAAACATTGGTTCAGTTCAATAATATTAAGTTGTTGTACTGAACTAATTAGAGACGTGAGCTTCAACTTATTTTAATATAACACAATCTTTTAAAAAACAAGCTTAGTGAAATCAGAGAATTTTCAAACTTAATCATCATTACATTAATTTTTTTGTCCATGAAATAGAGTTACAAGTGCAGCCTAAGTTGCAGAAGTGTTTTAACGGATTGAATGACCATCTAATATAAATTTTAAACCTAATTTTTCTTTTCTTGATTTGAAAATTCAATTCAGATAGTCAATTAGTAGAGCAATCAAAATACACCAAATTAATATCCTGAACCTACATCAACTAATCCATCTTTTCTATAAGCTCAAGAGATAAGGCAATGCAAATAAGTTTAGTATGAATTAACTCTGAACAAGAATTCAGTTTACAGTGTAAGACCTCTGACAACAAATTGCAAATTTAGTCAGTGTTGAGGCTAGTTGTAGTTGACATTGATAATGTGGTGACAGCAGGGTAAAGAAATGTGGAAGTGACGCTGTATATTTTAGATAAAACTATTTAATATCATTATGAATTTCGAGCATAATCAGTCCATGGTTTTGTAGTTTTATTTCCTGACCCCAATTGGCTAGCAACAGGTAGGAGGGAAGATAACCAATAAGGAGCATAGGAAGGAAAAATTTAAATTCATGACTGATTGAACATATGAGATCCGAGGGAACACTTACTTGGGCTGATGAGTGGCACATATTAGCACGAACTTCCTTCAGAAGTGTATTGTGGAGCTGAATTTCAGATACTGGCATTTTCTGTGGGGATATTTCTATAAGTGCAGCTGCCAGAAAAGTATATCGCTTGGCTGTTACAGTTGTAGCTACTGTTGGAGGTAAAGGTGTCATCAAAGAATCCAGAATTTTCTGTCTCAAAAGAGGAACTCTAGTTCCATACTTTCCTTTACCAGTAACTGCATACCTTATGCAAGATGCCCACTCTGAAACTGATTCAACAGATTGTGCTAAAATGATATTCTTCAACTGAGGCATCAGCCAACTTTCCCATGTTCCTGATAGACCATCAATATCAGAATGTAGCACACCTGCCAAAGCTTCAGCAGCTACACATTGTTTAGATCTCTCCTTAGCAGTTGTAAACTCATCTACTGCACCTTTAAGAGCCAACACTACAGGCATTCCACATTCCTGTACTAGTCGTTTAAAAATACGTGCAAAACTTGAGTAGAATGTATCACTTCCTAAAAATGATATCCAACTTGGTGTGCGTGGCCATGAAGCCGAAAATTCAAAATAAAAACGAGTTATGGATTTGTCCGCTAAGCTTTGGAAACTTGAATCTCCCTGACTTCCTCGTGAAGCAGTTTCAGTATCAGTAATTATATGAACATGGGAAAGACTAGTTAGTGTCTCATTGAAGAAACCCTCTTCCTGAAAAGTTTGAGTTAAAGTTCCTTCAAGGGATGATTTGACATGGTCCTGCAAATCCTCAAATTTCTCACCATGAGACAACTTATATGGTGATTCCTTTAGTAGTATATTTAAAGCTGAAATTGCGAGTATCCTGGTCTGAGGAAGTTGACTTTTCAAATTCTTCAGAAAGTGTCCTAAATAGCAACAGCATGAATAACATAAACACATTGCACAAAAATAACAGAAAAAATACTGACCTGGAATGTGCAAAAGGAAATTTAAATAAAATAAAATACAGAGAGATCTAAAAGCAAACAAGAAGCTATACAAACCAGCAGTTTCACTCAAAATTTTGGATGATGAATTTGGATGGTTCCGAGATGCCAAAGCCAGCAGAAGCAGAACTCTGTTAGCCATCAAATTATACCTGAAAAAAAGAAACTATTAAATCAATGTTTTAAATATGTTATCTACAAACACAAAGTTTAAACTTGTTAAAAATTTGTTAGGCAGCATTTAAACTAAAACAAATAATTATGAAATAGCAGAGAGATAGCATCCAAACATGCATGAAAAACTCATCTATCCCTTGTGTCAAATGATTTAAACCAAATGAATCAACATTTACCTCCAATGCAAGCCAGTAGAATCAAAACTCATAGAACCAATCTGAGAAACCAAATCTGAAAACCCCAGTCCACCGGTATGATTTTCTTTGTCTGAGATTCTGAAGAAACTTCTAGATACTCCAGAAAATTGAATGTTGTACTTCACGAAAAGCTGTTGAACCAAGGATAAGTTGAATCATATATAGCATATAATGAAACTGTAATATCTGAAGCAGGGATAAGTTTACCTCATTAATTGCTTTCTGAGCTTTCAATGATTCATGATGAGAACTTCAAAAAAGTCAGGAAAATATTATTCTCTAATGTTACACATAGAACAAAAAATACATCCAAAAATTTAAACAGAGAAAATGGGAATACCTTGAAAGAATTGCCAAGATAAATGAAGAAAATGACTTTGGATCCTGAAATCAAAGAAAATAATGAGACATCAAAGTATCAACCATCCAGAAAAACAATTTTAAGAACATCATCCTTGACAATCACCGTTGTCAGATGCTTGAGCACAGTTTGTGAGGCAAGGACTGAACATGAACCCAACACTGCATATTCCTTGGCATTGAGATCCTGCAAGTTATTGGTAAGAGTGATAACACATTTTGAAATCAATGATGGCCATCTCTTAATCAGCTTCACTAGCGATTTTCCGGCAAGCCTGGATCATATGAGAAATTTCAATCAGGCATAGAAAGTTATTGTGGCGTACTAAGAAAGCATGTTAGATAATCGAATGAGACAGTTTGAATTTTAAATTGATGCCATCACACAAGAAAGAGAATTAATATAAATATTTGCAAATAAATTTAAAGAAATAGAAGTGTATTGAAAGATAGTTTAAATGTTAAATTGATACCGTCACACTTTTTTCTGTTTCACTTATGTAAGAGAATTAATTTCATTAGAGAAAAAAGAAACAAGAGAAAATGAAAATATATAAATCACTAGACAGATGATTCTGAATAGCGGTTTTCAGCTTTATAAATTAGCCTTTTTGCCAGGCTGAAAAATCAGTGATTGACTTAACAGGCAATGCACAGTCTTAATTAAACACGAATAAAGCATCATTATATAGTGTGAGGAATAAACATAGTAATCAATTCTGTATAGTGGCAGGTACCAGCCACAGCCAGCCAAAAAATGCTATGGCAGGAGAAAGGAAAGAAGGTTGGCTGCTATTTCAAATACTATAATGTTAACAAAACAATTTATACCATACATAAATACTCAAACTAAAAACTGCCTATAAAAATTAAATAAACTCATGAAAAATAATAATTCACATTTTATATATACAATCACTATCAACCTTGGAGCAATAGCTAATAAGAACATAGGAATGGAGCCAAAAGAATGAAAGATGAAGGAAAATTAATTGGAGAAATAAAATAAAACTTAAGAGAAAACACAAGGGGACTGAACATAAACGGAGAATAATAGACCTGAGATGTGTTAGTGAATAAGACAAGCAAAACACACCAAAAAAAAATGAGCAGTGAATTGTAAACAGAGACTGAGCTGAGTGAGCTCTAACAGAAAACAAAGGAAGAGCAGACTCCCAGGAGTAGTTGGTCGGGATGGCAAGCAACAGAAGACAGTAAGCAGCAGGTCAGACAACAGAGTCCAAAACTAAGGCAACTTTTTTTCCATGAATAACTGAGGAAGAAGGGGTTCAAAACCTAATCTTTCTGAAGGAAAAATACATAAGAAAATTGGGGAAAATCCCAATACTGTGTTTGCTCCAATAAAAGGACTAAACAACATTTCAGGGCTAAAATAGGTTAATTATTGGAGTGTCACGAACATTTCAAGGCTAAAATGGGTTAATTATTAGTGTCACTGTAGTGTGAGACAAGCTGTAGTACAGCTAAGGTTGCAACCAAGTCAGCTTCTACTGAATTCTATGAAATGAAATTTGACATTAGGATCCACACATAGCTTGAAGATTAAAACTTCAGCAGTGGCAGGAGATACTCTTAATTCTGTCTTTTCCTTCCTACTTGTTATAAACTATTGTCCATTTATTGTACACAATTTTAAAGTATTTTCCATGTTAGTTCATTAATGATGCAAATCTCTAAAAGCTACTTAAAGGCCTGTCTTCGACGTTTGAGCCTATTTCATTCGCTAATTTTTCCTCTTTCAAAAGAACTTGGGAGTCTATTGTTCATTGAATATAGATAATCTAACTAGCGGAGATTAAACATGAATATATATATATATATATATATATATATATATATGTGTGTGTGTGTGTGTGTGTGTGTGTGTGTGTGTGTATCAATTCAAGTGCTTATGCAAAAAGACTTAGTACACATAAAACATTTACGTTTCAGTTAGCCAAGGGTTCTCACTTACAGGCGGACAGTTTCATAGCTATGCAAAGAGAGAGTCAGCAAATCATCCATCAAAATAGTCACATGATCAGATGGGCAGAAATTCCCACTTGTACGGTAAAGATGATAGGATGCTTGTGAAGACCTCCACGTACTGTGCATAAATGCCTTATCAATAAGTGCCCACCTTGGTCTGGATAGACAACAAGCAGCAGAGATTAATTAAAAAATTGTCTTGGAGCACTGCTCTTGTAATCAAGAAAGATGAGTTGTCTACCAATACCTTTTCTTTCCTTTAGAATGAGATGATACAATGAAATTAATGGGCGGTTCTATTATGGCTGCAGATTCTAATTTCCAAGCCTGCCTATGACTAGACCATTCATCATACTCCAAACTACCTGTGTAAAAAGGGGAATAAAATAAATTCGCCAATGCAGATACAAAAATTAGAGTAATATGTGAAAATTTAATCCGAAGTAGACGTCGATACCATAGTTTCCTAAAGCATCAATGATGCGAATAATCAAAATCAACAGGATGCTGTCATCTGACTTTTTCTCCAGAACATATCTATTGAGACAAAAGAAAAAATAAAGAGGATTTGTGAACAACATAAGTTGAAGAAGCAATGTACAGCGGCATAGTGTGATCCTCACTTGCAGGCTGCATGTATAATCTCAGCAGCTTTTTCTCTCAGAGCAGTACTACCAACAGTACAACCTGTTGCCCCAGCAATTAAAAACAGATGGTTTGAATCTTCGACCATTCCATTTCTAGAGTCTGGAACAAAGTCAGGCAAACAAGAAAAAAGTCCTTGCAATGCTGATTCAATACGTAGAAGAGTCACTTTCAAGTGCTCTTTCTCATCTCCTGCATGACAAATTACATTCAATATACATTAGCGAAGTAGGAACTTCCTTCATGGAACATTACTATCCAAATATGTCTGCATCACTATCACAAATTGTTATACCAGAAAGCAGTGGCAGAAAATTTCATTTAAAGTATAAACTACTTGAGACATCCGTATTTCTTATACCTTGGTCAGCATGGATTTTAGTCTGGCATATTTTCAACAGATCATCCAAAGCTGACTTGAAGTGAATGTCTATAAGCTCATTTGCAAAATTAATTTCTTCATCACAAGGAATATGCCACTTTGGGATCAACCTTTCATAAGTGGAAAAACCTTTTGTGCTAATCCATTCTTCTAGAGCAACAGCATCAGGGTGACTAAGAACACACCTATGAAACAAAAATTTGAATGTTTGAATTTCTAGACCAAGATACAAAAACCCACAGTATTGAGGGGAGAAAAAGTAACTAAACATAGTCAAACACTTATTCATACTTGTACTGATCAACAGGATAATAATGAATCTGACTTCCAAGAAGGGACCGAAGAAGATGATCAGCAGCCCCATTGACCTGTCATTAGATGTAACAATCAAATTTAGATTCGGAACCAATGGAGATTTCACTAAATTCATGTTTCTCTGTAACATTATCAACCTATTTGAAGAAAAATATAAGCATGGAATTTAAAACACCTTCCAAGAGGGAGAATCAAAAGCCAAGAAAACAGCTTCTTTGAATTGACTCTTGTAGGGGAGGATTGCTGGACCTCCATATGTAATGCAAACTGACAATATCTTAAGTTGATAGTCAATTGCAGCCTCAAGAGCTGGGGAAATTGTCGACCTAACCTGAAAGAAAATCTCAGCATTCAAGAAAATCCAGAAGCAGCATTGCAGTAAAAGATAATCACAAATGAATGAAAAAGGTACCTTTGATGAAGCAGAAGCATCAAAAGTTCCTCCTCCTCCAAATCCAGTGCGTGGTGTTCCTTTCAAAGAAGATATCACAGACAGTAATATTGGCTCAACAAGTTGACAAACTGCTTCTTCTGGATTTGAGTGAACACAGGCGCAACAGAGCAGTCCAACCTCTGCAACAGCACCAGGAAGAATATTTGTCCTCACAAACTTGGAAATTTTCTTCAGAGCCTAGTGAAGTATCAGTGAAGTGCAAGACAATATATTAGCCGAGAAATTGTAGTAACTATTAAGTATTTTAAAATCACAATGTAATACCTGATTATACAGTGATTTAGAAAGCCTCCCAAACAAAATTTCAAGCACGCAGAAGTAGTATGGACCATCATCAACTAGGAAAGTTCCTGTAGCTGCTGATGACTGCAGACCTTCATTTCTAATGTACCAGAAACCAGTTACCCAATTATAAAACATAATAACATAAAAATTCCAGTTAAACAATATTATTTTCAAATAAAGTAGCATGCAACAGAGGGAACCTTGGCACTGCTACTTACATAACACTGCTGGGTTCCAAGTGTAGAAGTAAGGAAAACAGACGGCATAAGAACTCATCCAGCCACTCTGAAAAGCGGATCATTGGCATAAATGATAGGTCATCAATTTTATCATCCAATAAAGCCAACTGCATTTACAGGGTAGATAGGTTAAGATTAATCTGCACAAGAAGTTCTTTATTCATTATATATAAAAGTTAAAAGCTCACATTTGAAAATATGGAACCAATTAATTGCATGGTAGCCAAGGTTTTCGGCGGGTCATTAGCATCCATGCCAAGTAATGCATTAGATAATGAAACCCCCACAAGATCAATGAATGTTTCATCACCACCACCAAGATCAACTGGTTTTGTGGAGGAAGATGATACAGATGAATAAAATAGTGATCGCCCAACAAATGCCACTGACATAACTGCAATTTTTAACTGGTGGGTCGCAGTCATCTGACCAGGCAAAATGAATTTGGTCAGAAAAACAAAAGTCATCTTATCAAATATATAAATTATAGATTGACAAGATATATCATACCGTCTGGGAAGGCTAAAAGAATTTGGTCATTAAGAGAAACTAACATAATAAAATATAGCATTTATGTATTGACAACAAGAATATATCATAGACTTTGGAGACATCCTATCAATAAAAAATATTATGCTTTCAATATGACATTGATCACCCAGACGTAGCAACTAAGTTTTAACATAAAATTCATGCAGCAGTGCTAACCGTCTCAAGGGCCATCCGGAACCGAGATGCCACAAATGGCAGAACCAATGAGGGTTCTACGTACGACAGAATAGAAGTTGCTGCAGCAACTGTCTCAGATAGATGCTCATTCTTGCTGTATTGACCACGGTCAATTAACTTGAGCACTGAATTAACAAAGAAAACCCTCTCTGGTTCCCCAAGATGCTGTTCAGTGGGTCTACTATTATCTGTGCCCCTATAGTACAGAACAACTTCAGTTGCATAAAATAAACAAACACAAAAAGTAGATGCAAAATTAGAATTGATTCTTACAACTGTTCATTCTGTAGACGCTTTTGAAATTGAAACACTAAATGAAACAAAAACCGCTCCAACGAGTAGGTCCATCGACCCCCATTTGAGGGATGATAATATCTACAAGAATGAATGCCAGTATAAAATTAAGGAAATAACTGAACTTATAGATAAAACAAGATTAGTTAAGCAAAATAAGTGGAGCAATAAGTGAGTAAACAAACTGTTCCAAAATGTTGATCAATTTTTTAAAGAACTGCTCTGATGAACTACCAGGTTTTAGCAAAGATACCTGCAGTTGCAATTAAAAAAGATTACTAAACTAAAATTAAGAAAAGAGAACATGGTTCCAATGTTAGAATCTCACAGATGTAAATAACAGCATATTTGCTTACTATTGATTTGGAGATAGCCTTCGCAGGAGTGGATGTTTTATTGGAGAACAAGAACCTAGTGTTTCTTGGGACATCTAGCGAAAAGGGATATGACCCACTTCCATTTGCAACAGGTACCTGTGATTTACAATAATGGAATGAGGGATTGATCCAAATGATAGAACAAAAATGGGAATCTCACCAGGAAATGCATGCAAATATAGATCAATTAGCTCTTATGAATAGGTAATACAATTTACACAAGAACATAACAGGGAAAAACATAGGTGCATCAATAGATTAATTAATCATAAAAGTGTAGCGCATTATTTACTTCATACAAGAATTTGAAAATGTTAGCTAGTTTTGGTAGCATAGTAAGGACTTCACAAAGAGCTAAAAGTTACACCTCAGTGAGCCTGTGTGCCTTCTGAGATGCTGACTGGGCATCTGATGTGGATGATAGAAGGCCAATCTCAGACGCCTGTCTCTTTCTTGGGCAGAATCTAATTTCCTGCCGCTCTAAGAAGCAGACTCTTGTTGCTCACTCAAGCGCTGAAGCATAATACAGAAGCTTAGCCTTGGCAGATTTAGAAGTCATTTTGGTTCAATCTCTTCTTACGTGAGTTTTAGGTTCCCACCAGAACCCCTATTATCTACTTTGACAATCAGAGTCATGTGGCTCTAAGTCACAGTCATGTGCTTCACTCTTGGACTGAGCACACATAGTTAGATATTTTCTTTGTCCAGGAGAAGGTACTGATAAATCTCTCATTGTTGACCATGTTCCTGCTTAAGAACAAGTTGCTGACTTCTCACCTGGTCTTCACAAGAGGCTCAGTTCTACAATCTAACAGACAAACTCAAGAGTTCTCAGTTGGCTGCTCATAGCTTTCACCCTGAGTTTGTGAGGGGTGTAACAGACTAGCCTCTGCCAGCTGTAGTTAGTTATGCCAACTGCAGTTTATTGTCCTAGCTATCAATTATGCTAGTGCCTATTTGACCAAACTTCTCCATAAAGACTTTTAGAAGAGAAACATAAGATAAAAAAGAATAAGAAATAAACAAAGAAATGAATTTCCCCATAAAAATTAGCTTATGCACAAGTTAAAAAACAAAAATTTAGAGAAGTCACATGATAGAATTTCTATAAATTAGTTTATGCCTAAACTAATTGTAACTTTTGGAGAAGCTCATTCATTTTTTTTCTTCTTATTTTTCTCTCCTAGAAGTCCTTATGGAGAAGTTTCCCCAAGCTGGCTCTTAGATGCAGTTGCCAAAACTGCATCTTATCTTTGTACTACAAATATCTGAACTCTTGTTGAGAGATTCAGAAAATTAATAACAGAAAAACTCTTTAGCCTTTAATTCTTCTTTTCTCTAAATTTAACATTGATTCTCCTTTATCCTCTTTTTCTTCCTCTATAGCTTAAACCAGGTAATTTCAACAAGGAATTAAAGTGGTATCATCATCCATGACCTGTCTTTTGATATTTAGCATTAACCACTAAACACTTAAATAGAACTAATGATGTCTCCACAGTTGGAAATGTAAAAATAACATGTTTTAAATGTGTAATGGATAAAATCTGTTAGGACTTAAGCACATGAACAGAATTCAACCCAAAAGACTAGTCTATTAAGTGGTAAGGGGGAAAGCCTCAAGGCTACTACATCAAGTACTACCCATTTTCTCTTTAACGGCTTCACTCTTATTTCGGCTGTTACACCTTAATCCAGCCTATTTGTAGCCCTTACTGTAACCTAACTCGGCATCAATTGTTAGGACTTAAAACACAAGAAAGTTCAACCCAAAAAATTAGTCCATTAGGTGGGAGAGCTTCAAGGCTTAAGTACCACATCAACTAGTTTATTCTACTCAATGTGCGACTGCTAACAAAAGAGATTATCAATATTAATTAAAAAAAAAATAGGAAAAAAATATTCAAGCTTTATTGTAACAGTCTTTGGAGAGATAAACTGTATGTATTTCCAAATCATTTTCAGTTAATCTATTTCCGATGATCTAATCAAAGTGAGAATAAAACCAACCTAGCCAGAAGAATTCAAGAATATCTAATCAAAATATGAATAAAACCAACATTTTTACACACTCACCTCAAACATATTCAAGTATCTAGCAAAAAGCAAAGGCAGGAAGCAGTCCCAGTCAACATTGTGGTAATTTTTTACAACACGAGCTATCACATCTGCCCATTGATTGTTCCAGAATTGGCAATTTGGTATAGATTCCCACAAATCTATACATTCTTTTATCCAATCACTGCCAATTCAATTATAAGATTTGATTCCACAGGAAGTCATGTCAGATATACCAAAAAAAATCATAAGAATTTATGCTTCTTACTGGGTAAAAAAGGCTTGATTGTCCAGATTTGTTGGGAGAAACAGTCTTGCAAAGCCTGAACCTTCAAAGGATGAATTATGCCATGGGTTTTGCAATAAAGATCTACAAATTATCCAACGACCCAAAGAGAAGAAATTAAGAAGAAAACAAATAAAATAAGCTCAAATTCGTAAAAGAATGTAATTCTTAATGCAGGTTCCAGAATGATTCCACTCAATGGAATTCTTGATCCACATAAATTTCACGTTAATATCAATATAAAGTATTGAATATATAAAAGACAAGCTCTCGCAATAATTCAAGATTATGCAGAAACATCACCAGAGCACTCACTTAAACTCAGACCATATCTCAAAGGCAGAACCTGATGGGAAGAATCTACGGCAGGACTGAACAAGGGAAGTTATAGTTTCAAAATGTCGTTGTCGTATTCTCCAACCTTCTGGACCTGTACTTCTGAAACAAAAATATAATTCAACATCCCCCTACCAACAATTTTGTAATCTCATATGCAGAAAAGGAATAAATTGTTCAATTCGTATTATGGTTTAGCAAGAGACAAGAGATAATCAAGTTCAAAAGTAAATGGTTAAACAAAAATACAACACTGAATTCAAAGAAAAACTTAAGCTTTAGATTTACTGCAACGTCAAGCATTAAATCTTCGAAATTAGTCTTCATATCTTATATTTTTCCTTTGCTTTCATTGAGCTAACTAAGAATCAAAAATTAAGTACAGAATAATTTTAAACCAATTAAGGCTGAATCAGCAACAGTACTCATATAAACTCACCTAGTAAAATGTGTGCTAACCAGTGTCTCATACAGGGGCCTCCACTCAACAGTCAGTGTAATCTTTTTCCTATATTTGTTGAGTAGTCTGACTATTAAATTTCCCCATCTAACCTAATAAACAAAAAATGACACAATTATTTAAGAGCAAGCAGAGACAAAAAAATTAAAAAATTAACACTCTGTCTCATCTAAAGACAAAATGCAGCAGCACCTGAGCATAAAGCTTATTGCGGGACACATGAAAAATCTCGAGGCCCAACTGAACAAGGTTGTGAACATCCTCCAAAGAAACATCACTTTTTGCCTTTATGAAACTGCACAACACACATAAAAGTTAGATTAAACCTAGCAACAAACTCTGCGTAAACAAGCTGAGTGGGGGAAAAAAAACTCAAATACACTACTTATAAATTATAGCCATTTTGGAAGAAAAACAGAGCCATTACTTATAACCAAGATTTTAAACAAAAATTCACGACGTGATTTCAAATCACGCTCAACGATTAAGATTTTAGAATCACAGCAACTGTAATTATGGCTGCAACAACTTCATTTATCGAAAAATCCTACAACGTCAAGGTTTGTGATGAAGGACAGCGCTTACATTTTAAAACCTTGTTTATAACAAAAGTATTCCACTAGATAACATACTCCAAAACAAGTAATAACAGTATTACACAACCTCTAAACAAATATAACAGTTAATATAACAAAATACTATGCCATTTTTAGAGTTAAGTAAGCATACAATAACTTCACAACACACAGCGGAAGAAATTACTTAGTCTTGTTTGGAATAACTTATTCAGGAAAAAAAAAATCATCATTTCCTTGTAAATTTAGAAGAATCAAACATGCAAAACCAATTAGAAACAAAGTCAATCCATCACTCTCCGAAGCCACTCTTCCATTCACATAATCTGGAAAACCGCTCATAGAACCATGAATCTCACACTCCTGAGCGTTTCAGGAAGTCCCTCGCAACCTTCGATCACAAATTCAACATCATTTCCTAGTAATTAAGCAGAAGCAGACATGCAAAACCAATTATAAACAAAGTCAATCCATCACTCTCCTAAGTTATTCTTCCATTCACATAATCTGCAGCACCACTCATAAAACCATGAATCTCACACTCCAGAGCGTTTTAGCAACTCCTGCGCAAACTTTGATCCCATATTCAATAAAATTTCCTAGTAATTAAGCAGAAGCAAACATGCAAAACCAATTACAAAACAAAGTCAATCCAACACTCTCCTAAGCTCTTCTTCCATTGACATAATTTGCAGCATCGCTCATAAAACCATGAATCTCACACTTCTAAGCGTTTTAGCTACTTCTTCACAACCTCCGATCAAAATTTCAACACCATTTTCTCACGGCCCAAACACGAAAAACCTCGCATCAAAGCACCAGCTAAAAGTAAAAACCATTAAACGAAAAAAAAAAAAAAATCGAGGCGATATTCCAGAATCTTCTCAATTAAGCCGTACGGCGAAGAAATACACCGAAAGCGAAAGCAAGAACAGGTGAAACGAAACCGGAAACGATAATTAAGGATGAATTAGGGAAAAGGAAGAGGCGGAGATTGGAAATGAGAGTGAAAACTGACAGGTCGAGGACGGAGATGAATTTGAGAGTGGAGAAGACGGATTCGGGATCGTCGCGGCGGAAGGATGAGTTGACGGCGGCGATGACGCGCGAGAAGGAGTCGCGCTCTGCGGCGGTCTGAGCGGCCAGCGGCGGCGGAAGCCATGCATTGTAGAGATGCATTTTGGTTTTTGTTTTGGAGAAATGCGAAAAAGACGAAACAGAGAGTTTGGTGGTGGCGTTTGTGTGGGAATGCGTGTATATATAGGTGGCAGAGCAGAGGCGAGGATTGAAGATTGAGAGCAACTTTGTGAACAAGAAAAAGGTGAATTGAGTGAGTCGGAGAGAGAGAATGAGAGTGTAAAGAGTTATTATTATTGGAGCAAGAGGAGACTTAATTAGGGGGTTTGCATTTTCTCATTGACTCTACTTCATTATTCAGTTCAGATTCAAGGTGCGGAATTACTTTTTATTTCTCTTTCTTTTTTTTTTTTTGTAATCTCCGAGTTCCTTTCTGCTGATGGAACCTTGTAAGATTCGAACAGTGGTAAATTCCAATTTCATAAGTTTTAGCAACCCTCTGACATGTTTGTTTGAATATACCACTACTCTTTTGTAATAGTTCAATTTATTCAAAATTATATTTCATTGATCTTGCTCTAAATAAAATTATACAGTTTTTATTTTTAACATTTTCACTTACAGATTAAAAATATAATAATACAAGTCGAATCTATAATACTTTTTTATTTTTTTGTTTTTTGAACTATAGTTGTGTTAACTTAATATGTACTTATTAACTATTTATTTACTAATACGTAGACTAAAATATCCCTATTTAATATCTGACCCTACATTATTAATGTTTAGTGGACGAAAATAAGATATTAATTTTAAAAACGTTACAAATGTTACCTTCGGTTTGTAAAATAAATATTAATATTTTAGTAGATATAAATGAGAGCATAGTTTGAAAAACGTTACCAATGTTATCTTTTAGTGTAAATTTGGAACATAACTAAATTATTGAAATAACTGTAGATTTCAAATGGAATAATTATGTATCTCTTTTTAATATGAGTGATTTTTACTTAATTACTTTTAGTCAAACGTAGAGGTATTGATTTAAAACGGTTAGGGTAGTTTCAATACATGTTAATCAAATTTGTTTATTTTTATCTTTCTTTTAAGATTTTTATACATAAGTCAAAAAATATAAAATGAAAATAATATCATGAAACAGCATGAGATTTATATATATATATATATATATATATATATATATATATATATATATATGTTACAATAAAGGTATATATATATATATATATATATATATATATAAGTTGATTAAATATGAAGTAAATAATAAAAAATACTTTTTTATTTTATTTTGTTGTGTCCGTTATTTTATCCGTAAAAATTGGATTAATTTATTGGCCTGTCTTACATAAATGCATACGAATAAAAAATTATATATAATGTAATTTTGTGAGTGCAGCATATTACGTAAGAAGATAAAAACTGTAACCATAAACACATGTTATAATCACATCTTATTCTTCATTTTATATATTCATTTTACGTGGACATATTATTAAATATATCATCAAATTAACCATTAAATCTTAATAAACTATATAAATATAGTAATAATTGTAATTAATAAAATTTTAAATCAAATATATAATAATAATTTTTAAATATAATTTATTTATTTTATATTAAAAATATATCAAATTTCAAGTTAATTTATTTTGTCTTGTGAAAAACAATTAAAATAATTAACCCATTCTGCGCTTTTTTTAATTGTCTATATTTAATATGAATAATTCTTATTTTTGTGTATATTTTTTAAAAATACATTTATTTAACAATTAAAAAATTAAATAATATTCTCTATTTTTAAATTTATGTAATTTAAGATTAAGTTATATAAATTAATTAATGATCAACAATTTATTCTTATTAATTATTTGATTTGAGAATTTATATATAATTTAAGTGACATAATAAAATTTGTTTCTATTTTCTTATTTATTTATTTGTAGGATTTTATTCAATCATTATCAATTTTATATTATAAAGATTTTGGATTTGCGAAATATCAAATTATAAATAAATATTATTTTTATTATTTTTTTCATCTTAGATTTATCATATTAATGTTTTCCATCTAAATCATTATTAATAAATTTATAGTTTCTCTCTTATAATAAATATAATTAAAAAGTATATAATTGATAAATAATAATTAATATAATCTAAAATTTGATTATTGATAAACATTTGAAATAACATTTTTGAAAAAAATTGATAATTATTTAGAGAGTGAGTAACTGTAACACATGCATTTAATTTAGGGCGTGAGATGTTAACTATATTAATTAAATTATATTTTATATATAATCACAGGAAAAACGTAATCCGCATTTAACTTTGCTCCAAATGGTTGCTGGTAATACTTAACTCGTTAGCTATTATTCGAATTTTAGAAATGTAAACTGCATCAAATATTTAAAAAAAAAACACTCAGTTCAATTATAAGTAAATATCAAATTTTCACAATTAAAGAAAAGCAGGTTAAAAATATTTTGTACAAGTGGTTTATATGTGTAACCCACTAACTCACAGTGGTTGCATATTAGTTTATTGGCTTATTGTTTCAACCAATATGTTGGGTGCAATCCAAGTAACAATAGATAAAAATAAATGAAGGTAATAGTTTGTTATTTGTAAAATATCAACATTTTTTAAGAAAGTATAATTTAAAAACGTTTAAAAATATAGAGATTTTGTATTAAAAATATAATATTTAATGTTATTAATATACTTTAATCTTGATTTTTTTTTTTTCATTTTAAGGTGGTGGATGTGAACACGTAACGGGATTTATTTTGTATTTAGCAAGAGGAGGTATGAGATGTAATTTAAAAAGAAGAGTATCATTTGACTGTTCAACCGATAAAGAAGTAAGGGAAAGGTTGAAAGCTAAAATTGTGTGTGTGATTTGGACACTCGAAACTTTATCTTTATATATATTTAAAGTGTGACATAATAAAGGCTTCTTGGTTAGGAAGAAAAGATAGGTGTAACTTTGGAAAGAAGAAAGAGACTCTTGTTTTGTTATGAATTGAGAAAATTTGCAGCGTAAGAAAAATAATAGATTTGTGAATTTGAAAGAGCAATAAAATAAGAATAGTTGATGTTGAAAATTAAATGAAAAAGAGCGTTAGGACCAGGCTGTTCCTTCTGTCTTCAACTTTTTCGCTCACTCACTTTCGAACGTCACATAACGCAGCAGGGGATCTTAGGTTTGATACCTGCGGTGCGAACCAGGTTGCCTAAACACACACATATCAACAAGATTGGAATGTACTCTTCCCACTTCATCAACCACCCACAATATTCCTTTTTCCTGGGCCAAACTTTCACAAAATACTCCTCGCTTCATATTCCCTTCAACTCATACCAGAATCCCACGTTTATTTAAACATTTCCTCACCCTTCTAATTTTCATTTCAATACCAGTTTCAACATTTTTAAATGGTTATGGTTACGAATATAAGTTAAAATTTCATATCGAATAAAAAAATAACAAAGTTTAAATAATTTTTAAATAAAAAAGTTCTTTAACTAATTATGTCATTTAAATATATGTTTAAGTATCTTTTGATTAAATCCAAAAATCGATCATTTTCTTGTTAAAACTCAACAAACAAAAAAACAATTCATAATTTTTATTTAATCACGGGTTTTCTACGTTTTTAATTTTGTTTGTGTTTAAAGTATAATGTTATTTCCTTATACTTTGTTGAATTATATTAAGATATTGAATTCTGTAATTTTTTTGGCAAAATTTTCGTTTATTTTAAAGAGGATATAGTATTTATTTTTATGAAACGTTTTGTCACCTAATGTATCAGCATTTGAAGTGAGAAAAAGTGGATATGTGATTATTTAATAATGATAATTACATTTAGTGCTATAGTTCAATTTAAATTTGTATTAAATTTTCACATTATCATACTTTTTATCAAATTTGAAACAGTTTACCAACCTTTTGTTAGTCGGAGTGGCGTTTCCCTATCAATAGTCTTATCTTAATCTTATGAGTGGAAAAAAAGTGTTTGAGAAGAGAAACTTCAATAAAAGTGATCATCAAAGTTTTATTAATATGCACATCAAAGTTTCACTAAAAAGTAGCTTTTATGTATTTTCTCTATAAAAGACACTAATTTGGCTTACAGAACTGGAAAATTATCTACAGTTTGAATGACCAAACAGAGAGAGGCACGTGAAATTTTAATTCAGAAATTCAATCCACACGTTACAAATAAACCTAGAATTATTATTAAATTCCCTCGTACTAAAACTTTTCTGATTTGATATTATATATAAGAATAAAATTCTACTTTTAGAAAATAATAAATCATGCAAATTTATTAATGAGCTATTATTATTTTTAATGATGATTTACCTATATAACTAATAACGTTACGACTCAAGATTATTATTATTTTTGTTTGAAATATTCCAATTCAGCTTTGATCCAAAATAATAAAACAGACTTTTTTCTTTAAGGTGCGTTAAAAGTTGTAATGATTATAAAATAAACACGCTCCTAATGTCACTCACGGAATCACGGGTGGAATTCGGTAACACCAATCCTAAATTTTTATTTATTTATTAAGTGATTTATTTTGTTGTACTCTAATTTTTTTTTTTTTTAAGTTTATGTTTTATTGTTTCTTTCAACTGCAATTTGTTAGCTTACGTTTTATTTATATAAGAAAACATATTTTTTAAAATCAAATATATATTTTTTTAAATGATTTAATTTTTAAATATTTTGTTTTTATAAAATAATTTAAATATTTATATGAATAGTTTAATCACAAAAATAAGAAATAATATAAAATAATCCGTCGAAAAATAATTTTCAGATTGACAAACAAAAGAAAAAATATGACACTGAAAAATAATTTCAAAAAAAGTGGTAATAGGTGTCAATTAAGAAATAATATTAACTTGCATTAGTAAATAAATAATTCAAACAATGTTTCATATCAACCTACATCATAAAAGACTCATTTTTGTTAGTTGAAAAATAATATTATTGGTGTTAATGACAAATGTGGATTGAATAATACTTTTGTCATTGTTTAAAATATTAGTTCAAA